CCTCCTAACTCGATTAAAATAAAAATTAAAAATTAATTTTTTTTTTCCTTCTTTTTGGCAGGGAAATTCACTACGACACCTCGGGGACTTTTTTTTTTTTTTTTTTTTTTTTTTTTCACGGTGGTGACGTTGGTAGTGGTGGTAATGGGGGCGTCGGTGTCGGCGATGATGAAGGTAATCCCGTAAATTTAACTTTTTAAACGAAAAAAAAAAAAAAAAACTTAAAATTATCTCGACGTTAAAAAAATAATGATAATAATAATAAAACAAGATGAACTAGAATTAGAAAATCAATCAATCAATCAATCAATACAATCAATGTTTAAAAAAAAAAAAAAACAAGAATGAAATTTTAAAAAAAATAAAATAAATAACGTTTTTTCTAATTTGAGGTTTTTCTTCCTTTTCTTCTTTCTTCTTCTTATTTTTTTCCTGTTGTTTTTTTAGAGTAAATGTTGAAAATTTCAAACGAACGCATCACGAGTGTTTGACGACTATGACTCCCGGACGCTGTTGCTGAAGAGCCGCCGCCGTCGTGTGACTGAGTGACTGGGTTGTGTGGAATTTAAGAAACGGATTCATGTCGACCTGTCACAACGAAACGACACGAGTGGTAAGTCAGATATTACATTTTCTATCTCTCTCACTCTCTCACTCTTCCCCCCTCTCCCCCCCTCTCTCTCTCTCTCACCTTAATTAGCCTCTGAGGAGTTTGGTGTTTGGTTGTTAGTGCTAAAGGAACTTCCTGTATTGGTTCCTCCAATACTTGTTGTTGTGACCTGTGATGACCAGGTGGTGAAGGAATATCGTTAAACAAATCATCACCCTCTAAATGCCTGATTGCTTCCACTATAGTCTCCAAACTTTGTCGCGATGTACTGCATCGGAAAAAAAACAATGATAATAATAATAATAATAATAATAATGAAAAATTACGCGTTTATGACAAACAACAATACAATCGACAAAATAATTAATCGTTTGTTTGCGATGTTTGTGGAATTCATCATCATCATCATCATCATCGTGTATGATTGATGTGTTCCGCCATTTAATTTTTTTCCTCACTGACAGGTACGACAGGTACGATTTTCCCCCTCTTAATTCATGACACGGTACGTTTTCGAGACTTTTCCGTTAAAAAACTTACATAGACGGAGGTACGCAATCATCCCCCGACCCTGAAGGAGTGGGCAGTCTTTCAACCTCGACCTTGGGCTCAGCTTTTATAGCCGCTTCTATCACACTAGGCAATCTCAACACCAATTTCATGGGGGGCGGCGACTGAGATTCGGAATTCGATTTCTCTTCCATGGGTTCTTTCTTGCACCGCATATGAGACGTTAATTCATCCGGAGTTGTTGATACTGTTTGGGTTTGAACGACAGGAGGCAAAACCTGTAATAGTTAAGGGGGGGGAAAAAACATTAGTGACGTCATGTCGAAAATTTCTTTTTGATTCTCATGGCGTCATATCCGTCGTCGAAAAGAATCGAAATCATCCTCGTTATTATTATTATTATTATTATTATTATTATTTAATTATTTCAAATTCCCGACGTCTTTGTTTTATTAACAACCGGTTCAATGGCAAACCCGTTTGTTGCCAACAAACAAACAAAAAAACAAACATTTTCGACCATTTTTTATTTATTTATTTATTTATATTTCTTTTCAATACGACAAAGTAGTCCTTGACGCCATTTTTTATTATTATTATTATCATTTAATTTTGAAATTTTCCTCACCGCTGACGAGAGTAAATCGCTCACGTTGACCGGCGACTGAATTATTTCTTCCGTTTCGTTGAGCGGAAGTGGTACCTCCATTTCTTCCACGACAGTCTCTTCCACCACAGTTTGCTGACTTCCGCCGCCGCCGCCACCACCCACGTGATTCCCACTGTGTTCAATTACTTGTATACCCTGGAAAAAAAAAAACAAACCCATTGTGACACGGGGAAATCCGGGAAAATTCGTAATAATAATAATAATAAATCAATTTACATCGTGCGACTGATACGTCAATTGAACGTGTTGAGCCAAATCCCTCAGTCTATCACTCGGATACATCTGTGATTCGACAGTCCTCAGCTTCTCTTCAAGATGCATCCTTAGTCTTCTCTCTCGATCCAATTGCAGTCTCAAATCGATAATATCTCTCCTCAACATTTCACTTTCTGAATCGTTTGCTGTCGGTTGTGTGGACAAACAATGTCGGAACGGGAGGAAGAAGCAGAAGACAAAAGAAAAGAAAAGAAAAGAAAAAACAAAATTAAAATTTCCTCATCATTCTCTTATCAATCTGACATCGGTCATCTTTCTCTCACCTTCGATAGTTATCGTGTTTGTCGTGTTGGCAGTCAACAGGGGATTCCCCGAAGCGGGTTCGGGCGACATGGAACCGATCCCTTCATCTGAGCTCTCGCACACGATGGCTGCGGCGGATTCGATTTTTCTCTTTTTCCCAACGAGTCCCCCCGGAGCCGAACCCCCATTTTCTCCCTCTTGCTGGTTAACCAAACGTTTAAGCTGGCAGTTCTGTGAGAGCAGTCTAGTCTTTTCTTGTTCCAACTGATAGATATATTCAGCCGTCTGTTGTAAAATCGCAGCCTGAAAAATCGAACAAAAAAAAAAAACCATTAATAATAATAATAATAATAATAATAATAATAAATTTCCCGACAGCAAAAAAAAATCCGTTGCATAATACGTAATGATGATGATGATGACGATTACGACGCGGTGGTAACAATAACAATTTTTGACTAACAAACAAACAAACAAACGAACAAAAAAACAGGCACAGAAATTGTCTAGTTCCCTAAAGAGAAAGATAGGTAGATGGATAGATAGAGATAGAGAGAGGGGAGAGGGGGAGGAGAGAGAGAGGGGAAACAGAATAGAACCGGTATGCGAGAATCGCGATATGAGTTTTTTTTTTTTTTATATATTTACGGTCACGATAGTAGTATACGCACGATACAGCTTTTTTTTTTTTTTTCGTTGTTACTAAAAATAGAAGATGGTACCTGATGACCCCAAAGGGGCCACCACACACACACACACACACACAACTGTGAAACCATCTGCTCTTTTTCTCTCTCTCTCTCTCTTTTCCTTTCGAACAATAGAATAGTAATGAGTTCTTGTTCTTGTTTTTTTTTTTTTTTTTTTTTTTAAGTCAAGAATCACCTGTTCTTTCCGCGTCCTTTTTTTTTTTTTTTTTTTTTTTAAATTTACGATTCTTTAACAAACGCATTCGATCGTGTCAGTATCAAAACGTTGACAGAAGGTTTTCGTTTTTAAAGGAAAAACAAACGACAAACATGTCGTCGTCGTACGCGACTCACAGGGAATAGAAATTCCAATTCGAAATCTTAAAAGTTTCTTTTCTTTTTTTACTCTTGGGGGGGGGGAGAGTGAGAAAGAGAGAGAGAGAGAAAAGAGGGCGCTCCGTGAAATTATTACAATTTTCTAAAACCACGACAAAAAAAAATTACCGAATTTAAACATATACATAGGGAAAAAAAAAATTTTGTTGTGAGTTTTCGGTTGTTGTTTTACTTAAAAGGGGCTCCATTTTTTTGTTGTGCGTGCGTGCGTGCGTGCGTGTGTGTGTATGAATAAAAAGAAACTCGACCTTGTTTCGTTCCTATTCTTTTCTTTTCTTTTCTTTATAAAAAAAAAAAAAAAAAGAAAGAAAGAAACGAAGCAGCTGCACATCGAAAAAAAAAAAAAAAAAAGAACAAACCTGTGCGGAAACGGTTTCTTCCACACACACACACACACAATTTGGGGTGTTCATTTTTTTTTTTTCTTTTCTTTTTTTTTTTTTTTTTTCGAGTGGTTCGGTTTTTATTTTATTCAAAAGGATTCTACGACAAACGACGATTATAACAAAAAGACAACACGGAATTCGTGCGCGCGTTTTTTTTTTTTTTTTTGTTTTCTCCCTTACGACGACGACGACGACGACGACGTATATCACGTTTCACCATTTTAATACCCTTGACAAAAAAGAAAAAAAAAAAAAAAAAAAAAACGACGTCGACAATTCAAAGTTCGCATACGATAAATCCGAGAAGGCGGTGGTTCTAACATTTTTACTCTCGTTCGAAACATTTTAAAAATTGCAAAAATAAGCGCGCGCGCGCGCGCAAATTCTCCGACGCTTTTCCATTCTCCCCTCCCAACACTCCCTCCTCTCCCACCCTGGCCAGCAATCATCCTTTTCCTCCTCCTTCTCTTCCACCCCACCCCTCGTCACAATACTCAAACCGCGAAATTTGCTCTCGCGCGCGTACCGTTTGTAGAAAAAAATTGCGATACTCTGAGCGCCATTCTAAGAACACGTTTGACGTGGCAAAAGAAAAACGAAGCAATTAACTGCTCTAATAATAATAATAATAATAATAATAATGATAATATTAGGCATTTTCGCGTAATTTTCATTTGAGAAAAACCAAAATCACCGACATTTTTTTTTCTTTTCTGTCTCTCTCTCTCTCTCTCACTCTCCTCATATTATCATCTCTCGACCGGGTGAAGTGACGTCATTTTACTCCAAAATAATAATAATAATAATAATAATAATAATAATAATAATAGTAAACTTCATTTCGAATAAATCTTGGAATTTTCGCTTGTGTGTTTTGCAATGACTCTTGAAAAAGGGGGAGGAAAAAATTCCGATTAATATACAAAATTTAAATCGTATCATTATCATTATCATCATCATCATCATCATCATCGTAGTCGTCGTCATCGTTTCTGTACAATAAGAAAAACGCGTGAAAAAGTTATTTAAAAAAAAAAAAAAAAAAAAAATGAACGCATAACAACAACAACAACAACCTCTTGTTATAATTAAAAACCGCACACGCATTCACTTTTTTTTTCTCATTCTAAATATAGACGGAAAGTCATTAAAAATAATGAGTTATTTCCAGAGAGAGAGAGATAGAGAAATAGATAGATAGAGAGGAAGATAGAGAAAGAAAGAAAGAGCGAGAGAGAGAGAGAGAAAGATAGATAGAGAGTGAGAGAGAGAGAGATAGGACTTCGAACGCGAAATAAATGAAGCCCCGTACACGCTTCGTTAACTACGTAAAAAACTCGTTCATCAATAAAACATGTTTTTTCTTTTTCCTTTTCCTTTTTCTTTTTCTTTTTCTTTTTCTTTTTGAGAAAAACAAAAAATAAATTTTTCTCATTCTTTCGGTCGATTTAAATCTGACCTTTTACCCTTTACCCACCCATCATTCCATCATCATCGTCATCATCGTTTCTTCCCCGAGAATTTTTTTTTTTTTTTTTTTTTTTCTTTTAAAAAATGTGCGAGTTCGTATAAAAATAAAGGGGATGACAGGGGGGGGGGGAAAGGGGAAAGGGAGGGGAAACAGGGGATCCAAACAATACGGAATAAATATTACATATATATAGAATTACGTACGATATAAAAAATCAATTTACTAGAATGAAACGTCGTCGTGGCACAAGAATAAATCTTTTCCCCTCCGCCCCACGTTTTTTTTTTTTTTCTTTTTTTCCCACGACCGAAATAAATCTTTTCATGTCGGGGGTTAACGTTAATCGGAATCCGTTCGATTTTTTTTTTTTTTTTTTTTTTTTTGGCTGTACAAAGAAGGGCAGAAACGTCACGATTGATGTTCGACTTGTTGCCGAGGGAAAGGGGTAAGGGAGGGGAAAAACCGTTAAACGAAATTTTTCTTCTGCTTTATCGAATTTCCGATTCGCGCTCTCCTACACACCCCCTCCGCCCAAAAATCTCTCTCTCTCTCTCTCTTTCTCTCTCCCCTTCTCCAGCCACGTCATCACCTTTCAATCACGTGAATGAATCAATCAATCCTCTTTCCAAAAAAAAAAAAAAAAAACTCATTCGACATGATGCCATTTTTTTTCTTTTTCGAAACCCGTAGCGAAAATGCAAGACCTCGCGTAATGTAATAATAATAATAATAATAAGTAAATTCAAAAAAAAAAAACTTCATTCGCGCCAAAAGTTGAAAAAACTTCGTTTCGTTTCGTTTCGTTCCGTCCCGCACGGTGGAATTTATCATCATCATCATCATCATCATATACCCGCTGAGGAAGGCGTGTGCGTGCGCGCGCGCGCGAGAGCGAGCGAGTGAATGATAATGGTCTTTTTCATTATTATTATTATTATTATTATTATTATTATTATTATTATTATTATTATTATCATTATTATCCAGAAAGGTCGTTTAACTTTTCCAGCCGAGTCAGTAAACTTATTCATCGTCAGACGAAGATTTGAAATGCCTTCGCGTTCGCCCATCCAACATTTTTCTAAAAATAATATTGGCAGAATTTGCATTTCAAGGTTCGGCCCATAATCGAAGTATTATAAAAACCTATATAACCATTTTCTCTCTCTCTCTCCCCCCCCGACGATTCCTCCAGCAAAGTTTAAATTCTTTATTCGTTAATAAATAAATAAAGAATTTATTATATTGATCGATGATTATAATGACGATCATGGTGGTAATAATAATAATAATAATTGAATTTAAATTATATAAAAAAAAAAGAAAAGAAAAATTCCAATCAATTAAATAATAATTCATCATCATCATCATCGTCATCGTCATCAATAATAATGATAATAAAAATCAATTTAATCGATAAAAAATATTCTCCCGTATTGAAACGAGAGAAAGAAAGAAAGAAAGAAAGAAAGAGAGAAAGAGAGAGAGAGAGAGAAAAAGGACTCGGTAGAATATATATATATATATATTATAGTCTGCCATATTTGTCCTTTTCCCATTCGTGTGATGATGACGTCATATAAAAATTCTATTCCCACTGCGGAAATTCTAAAGGAAACTTTTTTCTTTTGTTTTTTCTCCCGGAAAATGACGTGGCAAATAATAATAATAATAATAATAATAATAATAATAATAATAATAATAATAATAAATCGAAAGCGAAGAGAAAAAAACAAAATAAAAACAAAAAGAAAATGTCGGATATTATTATTATTATTATTATTTATCAAAACGGTCGCGCTTCTGTAAATCGTTAACAAAAAAAAAAAAAAAAAAAAAAAGAGAATAAAGAAAAGAAAGAGAAGAAAGAAAAGAAAGAAATAAAAAAAAATTACGACAGCAGCAAACGACAGCGCGTTCGTTTCCCTCTCTCCTCTCCTCCCCATTCCTTCCCTCACTCTCCTCTCCTCTCCTAGCGTTTAAAGCACCGAGAAAATAAATAAAAAAAAAAAAAAAATATAAAGAATAACGAAGCGTCGGGATGATCGTTTGTCGTGTTATACAACAACAAACGTTGAGGAAGGTTTTTTTTTCTCTCTCTCTCTCTCTCTTCCTCTCTCATCCTCTCTCTCTCTCTCTTTTTTTTTCTTTTCTCTCTCTCGTATAATTCGGATGAAATTTCACGAGGAGTTAACAACCTATGATACTGAGTCGAACATTGAGGCAGGTCACGGTGACCATGAGATCTATTTTTATACTCGCAATTACAATTCACACACACTCGCACTCGCAAAACCGAAATCACGATGATGATGATGATTATTTCCCCCCCCTCCTCCTCTTCCCCTTTTAAACTCGAATAAAATCTTAGATGGAGGCCGATGGAGGAAAAAAAAAAAAAAAAAAAAAAAAATCACGGAGGAAAAGCGAAGGGGGAGACGGCGGGGGGCGACAAAACCACTCTAATAAATTACTCTCGCATGTTATTATTATTACGTTTAACAATGTTTAATTAATGTTGTACGCACTCTTTCCTTTTCCCCAACCAGTCATTCATTCATTCATTCATTCACTCACCATCTTTCTCTCTCTCTCTCTCATTCTCCCTTTGCCATTTCCAGCAAATAAGAAAACGCATTGGCTATATCGCGTACGCGCGCACACGCACACACGCAAAGGTCTTTGACTTTTCTTATTATTATTATTATTATTATTATTATTATTATTACTTTACAAATAAATTAGCACCTGAATGATCTGTTAACTCTTTTTCCCAATGTCGCGTTTTGCCTCTCGATGTCATCGCTCGTTCGTCATTCACTTGTCAAACAAACAAA